AGTCTGGGCAGCTCAGTAAAAATACGAAAAGCAGTTGGCTCAATCTGTAATCGATCTGCCGAAGAGACTGTTCTTGTACATAATTTACAGAACAAGAACTTTCCATTGGATTCCAAACCTCATTACAGGAGTGCATCATGAATGGCGGAGGAAGACCAGGAAAAAACAAGAGGAATGATGAACAATTTGGGGACATTTTTCATTCAGGAGCCCATTCTAGGCGATTGACTAGACCCAAATACAAAGTCACAAAATTAGCTGCTCACTGTGAATTTGGATCAAGACGGCGTACCAAAAACCTTTGGTATTTAAACACGGAAAAATCAATGGGACTGGATGAACTACACCTTAAAAATTTTACTTATGGACTGGAAAGATTTTATTACCACTCCAATACATAAGACAGGACTAAGACAACTTCCATCAAGCCACAGACCTGTCAGCTTCACCAGATTCGTAGTAAAGTACTGGTAGAAATAATAAAAAAGGCTACAATTTCATGGAAACTAAGAATTTGTCAAACAGTGAACAACATGGGTTTAGGAATGGATTACTTTGTTCAATAAGCTTTATAACATGAGAAATGGACGGAGGTTCCAGATAGTGAGAAATCACTGGATTCCGCCTACGTAGACTTCCGCGAAGTGTATGATCAGATTCAGAATAATAGACCCCCCCTAAGGCTAGAGAATCCTGGAATTGCTGGACCTATCCCAAAGTCAAACAAGGGTTTCGTAGCAGACTGTAGGCAGGAAGTAAGAATAAATTCAAAATTCTCCCCTTGGGAACCGGTACTTAATAGAGTACGTCAAGACCCTGTCCTAGGTGATCTACTTTTTATACTGCATGTAAATGATCTCTCAAGCATAGTTAATTCTCCAGTGCTGCTTTATGATGATGATTTAGGAATTTGGTGAGAAACGTCAGAAAATCGAATTTTTCTACTCATTGGGATATTGCAAATACACTAATTTATTTATTGCTGTTTTCATGATATTTCGAATCGCCCATACGAACATGTTATTTTATCGTTCAGTCAGTCGCGTCATGAATGCATGTTAAATATTTGTACTCTTACTGATTTACTCATAATCACATGCTAGCATTTCCACTTTTATTCAAGTCTTGACGATATGAATGTACCTTTTTACACAAGAATAACACTTTCGCATAATATATTCACTCTTCACGTGATACTGTGATCTATGGTGTATAGTACAACTGTTTTCGCTACGTATTGTTAGCGTTAATCACACACCTCATCAGTGTTATTTCCAAAAGCAGACTTTTTTTTAGAAATCAATGTATTATTAATTTGATTTTGTTTATGAATGCACACACGCTCCTTCGCCCTCATTTGTTTTGCATACGTGTTTCTTCCGGACATTCTGCGGGGGATCTACGTGAGGAATATTGCTATGTTAACCCTACATAGTTTATTCTAACTTCCAAACAAACCAATCTATTCATTCTTCTTAAACCACATTTTGACCTTGTCACTTATTGGCTTATTTATTCTGATTGTTTCTAGATGAGCGTATGTGTGTGCACATCTTATCCTACTCATCATATGTCTGTAGATTATTTTTATCTGGTTATAAATATTGATTAAAGCTTGACTAAACCGAGTTGGCCCGCTTGCCTTCTTCAATATGCTTCACTTTTCCGTTTCGTTTCCTTGATTGCCTTTTCAAATCACTGAATGCACGAAATATACATATTCAAAATCCATTCTCGTATTCGGCTTATTTAATTCTTGTCAGAATGAGGGTTTTTGGAAATTGTGGTGATATTAATGGTTGAACTTATGAGTCGATTTAAGCTACACAAAGTGGTAAGCCTAAGTAATACATGTGAAGTAGCTGGGGATCTACAAACCAGTTGAAGTCAAACTGGGCTTTTGTGAACATTTGAAATAGGCTAACAAATTATTACTAACCTGAAATTGGCTAGAACTTCGACAGGACGAAATCACGAAGTCAAATTTGAAATAGAATTGACTTGTATTCTATCAGTGTAACATTAAAAAATGTAACACAAAACATTTAATTGTACAGTAACTCTACTGGATATTCACCAGAGATATATATGTAATTATGTTATACGAACGAGCTAACAACGGTTTGAATGAAAAGGTAAGTGCTTGATCGAAAATGCAAGTCTTTTCGATATGCATAATTGTTCTCTGTACTTATGAGAAATAAAGACGACCTGTTTAAATAGCTAGTGAATATCACCTTCGAACAGCAAGGTCTGTCAATTTGATTGATTACTAAAGTACATTGGCCAATAATAACATTATCTACACGGCTTCAATCTCATTACTTTCCTCGCCCAAAACAATTACTTTTTCCGAGGATACCAACTTAGTCAGAACCGGGGAATAAAGATGTGGTTAGCACGACTGAGGCAACTAATCTAAGACCAAACGTTAAATGCTCATTGATTGCGAAAAGCTTAGAGTTAATATTGGTAGGCTTTTGGCAGCATAAAACAAATGGTAACCCACAACGAAAAAGCGTTTTGCTTTCTGGCACAGGAGTTTATCTAGCATAACATCTTTGTGAGGACGGAATCTAGAACTGTAACCTAAGAGGATATGACAAGTTGCACTGGTATTACTTGTTAAAAAGAAGAGATTTAGGTTCATAATAATTGGAATACAATGTACGGAAAGAGGTAGGTTTCTAACTAGTTTACAACACTCATCGTTTGGAAATTAGCGCAGAGCATTAACAGAAGACAGCAGACAGGAAAGTTGACACCAGTAAACCTATGAATTAACAGTAGACAATAAATACTCCAATACTTGGCGAGGTTACTTTAAACTAGTGCCGAATAAAACAATTAAAAGAGCGTAAATGGTACAAGGACTAAGTTGAATTACTGCGTCAGTAGTCCTTAATTACTCCGACATAAAGAAATGTTCAGATTTTATCGACTTGTCATATAACATTACACAGTAAATTTCATGATACTGTTAGATGAATGGAGAAGTCACACAACTGATCCCAGACGGTGAAAAAAATATGAAAGGTGCAACAAAGACTAACGACCAATTTTGGAAACTTATACTTATTTTTTAATTTAATCTGTATTGATTTGTGTTATCCCGTTGTTAATATATTGACTAGTTTTAGTTGGCGCATGTTCATTCCATGAGGATCACACCCACATAGACCCTGTTACAAGTTTACGTAGATCAGACAAAATTCAGCTTACAGTTGGATCCAGGATGTGTTTTCATTCTATTCGGGATTGATCAGCTGGGTGTATCTGTACCTTAGAGGTGGTGTTCACCTTGAGATTCAAACGAATTGCCTTTCATTTCGAACGCCAACGCGTTATCCACCAAGCTACTGAGTCCCTAGTAGTCCTTAATCTGAATCCAGTTAGATTGCATGCTGATGTTTATTGAAACATGCTTATCACCAAAACCTCGTATATAATCATCGACTTAACTCGCGTTGGTGAAGAACGGAATTAAATAAGTCAAATACGAAAATGGATTTTTGAATATGTATATTTCGAACAAGCGTTGACTGGAAAGCAAGATAAAACAAAGTGACGTGCAGTAAAGGCAAGTGGGCCAACCCGATTTAATCAAGCTTTAACCAATATTTATAACCAGATAAAAATAATCTACAGACATATGATGAGTAGGATAAGATGTGCACACACATACGCTCATCTAGAAACAATCAGAATAAATAAGCCAATAAGTGACAAGGTCAAAATGTGGTTTAAGAAGAATGAATAGATTGGTTTGTTTGGAAGTTAGAATAAACTATGTAGGGTTAACGTAGCAACTGACAGTACAATTTCATATGATCACTCACTTGTCAAATGTCAATGACAAAATAATCCAAACTACTACAAATCGAAAAATTTATACCATCTTCACATGTGTCTATCTGGATGGAGTAGTTAAGTTGACAACGCGTTGGCTTTCGAAACAAAAGGCACTGGGTCCGAAAACCGGGGTGGACATTAACTCTAGGGTACAGGTACACCCACCTGAAGAGTCCCAAACAGGAAAAAATATCCTGGATCCTACTGTTAGCCACATTCTACTTATTCCACATAGACCCCATACTCATACCAGTTGTGTGAATAAAAGAATAAATTTAGTTTACTACTGATATGAAGCTTCCTGACTAACTTAAATATGTATTGTTTTAATCTTCAAATCCTAAACTTATTCGATATTGACTGTAATGAAGTCTTTTGATTGCTGTATCACCTTATATATATTATATTTTAAAATAAGTGCACCTGTGAGAACGAATATTCTTTAAACGGAAAATTATATAAGTCTTTTTATATCTATAGAGCTAAAAATCACTTCATTTGAAAGAGCAATCACTGAGGACTGATCCTAACGTAAGAAAATTAAGATTAATAAATTGAAAGAATAATGGGAATAAAGTTATACATATAATTCATTAATCAAGTTGTTTCAGAAATACTTTGAACACACGCAAGGGCACTGTTAATAAGCTCAATTGGAAAGTGGTAAAATTCAACTTAAACATTCATTGTTACATATGTTGCTGAAATTTGTGATCGTGTAGTTTCAGTATAAACCGAATACTAAAATGTTACCGATATATATATATATATATATATATATATATATAAACAAAAAAAAAACAGATACTGATAGAGGACAAAGAATACAACATTGTTGGGATGAGATAATAATTTTTACAAATGTACAGTAATTTACAGTGGGCGATTCGAATGTATCATTTAGGAAAACTATATGCAGAATATATAAATAAATTTATCTATCATCCGAAGTAAATCTTCTTTTTTTCCTATTCAAATACCGCTCTTTTTGCCGTTTGCTCATTTGTGCCAGACGTTCATTCTGAACGAGTTTACGGAGTTCCGCTGATAAATTTTGAAAATTAGTTTAAAAGTTATGTTAATAGTGTAAGTAAGCTCTGACATAAAAAAATACTTGTTGAACTGATCTAAAGTCTAACAAAAAGAACGCGGTTTTAGGACAACGAAACGAACCATAACTATTTCTCAAAGATAGTTTGTATTACGAAGAACATATACATATTAGGAAGCATTTAATGACCGGTATTTTCTAGTTTGTGATTCCCGAACGGAATTCAACCAATGGTGGTAACCTTCCGCTGTGAGCACGATACCATTCCCCATATCAAATACAAGTGTCTCTACTCCATATATTCAATTGATTTAAGTCGATAATCATTTTGTGCTTGCGACCGGAAGTAATGAAAATTTGTTTCATGAGACCTAATAATCGAAAAGATAAATCAACCAAAAATCTACAAAAGACTGTCAGAATCAGTAACTTATATCCTCATAAACTGTTCCAAGAATTACGTGATTTTTATACTGATTGACAAGTTATAAATAAGGAAGTCAAATAATAACTTTGACGAAATTCGAAGTGGCTAGGGGTTATATGTTCATGTCAATGAGCCTTACATTCGTAAAATAAAAATAATTTCAGAAAATAATGATAGATTAAAGTGAGACTGATCTGATATTTACCGCGGCAGATAGTGATTATCGGTAAGCACTAATGAAATTTTTCCATAATTCCAACATAAATGTTTCATAGCGAAACTGATTGCAATACTCCATATGTGGTGCTGAAAATTACTTATTGTAAAAATATTTGTAGTAATGAATAAAACGACCGTTACTGCTATATATTGGTAGATAATATTTACAACTTTACTTTTAGTTCTTTTCGGTATCTATACTAATACTAATGTAACCCGGCAATTATATGAAATGGTCACAGTGACTAACCACGTCACTCCCTATTAATAGGCTAGACGTTGGTGTAGACCCACAACTAAGGCACTATTTTATTATTTCGGAAGTGAGAAACGGATATCAAATATCCTTATAGTATTAATACATATATTAATGAAACCGTATTTTGCCAATATAAGCACTGAAAAAATGTTGCCTGTATTTCCCAGAAGAATTAGAGAACACTCAAGTAGGAAACTAATAATGATCAACTGAAGGAAGAAACTGTTACCTTTGAAAAGGTAAATATGACAAAGTTGGATAAGAATCTAGAAGATAAACGTCGATATGGAAGACCGCTTTACGCACACACGGGGATCATAGTTAATAGTATTAAGTGATAAGTGACAAGTCATCGCTCAAATAGGAAACAAGTGCAGGTGGTGGAACAGCTGAAAACAGAAGTGTTGATGTGAAGAGCATACCCATTTAATAGATGAAAATTAATTTGCAACGCTCTGAATCCGAGTCGAACAGAATAACTAAGATATGCGTTCAGTATTTTCAGCTAAATGATAATTAGTACTGCTCAACTAAACAAAAGATAAAAGATTTACAGATGTTGGACTAGAAGTTACTACGTCATACTGTATGTTTTAAATCCAGGTTTAAAGTATCATGAAGTGAAAACAAAGCATTCAGAAAGTCGATAAAACGATTAGTTTGATTCAGGTTTTACAAAACATCTGCAAAAGCATCTCATTATAACTTGATTGACTGGTTAGAGGTGTCTATTTCCAAAGACATCATTCATTTTGCTCCTAAACGTATTCTCATTCAGTTTACTACACGTTCTACTAGACACATTACACAAACTCCTTTAACAAATTAATTGCATTTATTCATTTTTAGGTATAAAAACGTTAGTAAATGCACATTTATAGCTTTTAGAAAACCCAAATGTGACGAAAGTTACGTCAAAAGAAAAGAATGTCTGAAAATTATGCCCAGTTATTTTAGGCTCTTGAAAAAGTAACATACGTGTACTTACCTCGAGGAATAAAACGAACAGATCTCCCTGATTCCAAGTTTTCAATTTGTTCCTTCTGCAGTTTATCCATGAATTGCTTACGGAATTTTCTATCTTTTGCTGTGGCTATTCGCTGTCTTACCAAATGTAACGCATCCGTCACTTCCTTACGTTTGTTCGAGTCTAAATTCTGACGCAGCATCTTTTTCAGTTTCTGGTTTGGAAGTATATATTCACATAGCAGAAAGTAGATAAACATTTTAACAGGAACATTTACGACAATATGCAGATAACTAGTTACTAACCTGATAAAAAATATCCCAAATTTGAAATATACAGTAGGTTTTGAATTCAGTACAATGCTTTACAGTCACAATAAACTACACTGAATAGCCAGTTGATTGCGGTAGAAGATATAAGTTGCTATGGTTGGGTGAGAGTGATATTATTTATTTGAACACATAAATATTAGTACAAGGGGGGCTCTAAATATATATGCGCCACACAAAACAATGAGAATTCGAAGAGAAAAAAAGAAGGTAAGGAGTGTTAAAAAAAGAACAATAACGAAGAGGTTGGTGCAAGGTAGTGTAATAATAATAATAATAATAATAATAATAACAATAATAATAATGATAATAATAATAATAATGATAATGGAGGAAACGAAAGGTACAGCCAGAAGAATTCCTTCAGTTAAGGAAGATACAACCACTTTTTTATGAAGAAAGTAAAAGAAGGTTACAGTAGGATCGCCACTGGCTTCTATTCTGAACCATATCTGATAACGTCTCTAGCCACTGTGTTGCGCCATCTCTCGGACCCCAACCAGGGAGTCGTGAAGGATCAACACAAGCCAGCCGTTTGCAGCTTTCTTTTATACTACGACACCATGTCATACACTGACCACCTCTCCGCTTTTTTCAACCAGTCCCAGAGTCGGAAAATAATGCACGACGTGGAATTCTCTGGGACGACATTCATAGAACATGTTCAAGCCACCGAAGTCGGTGTTTCAAGATAGTGACACCAATTGCACTATCGTCTCTGTGCCCGAACACATGATGCCGAACCTCTGCATTACTAACATGGTGTTGCCACTGGATGTCAGCAATCCTTCGGAAACAACGATGATCGAACACAGAGAGTTGTCTAAAGTCCCCAACTCGGAGGCCAGGTTTCACAAGCATAGAGCAGAACCGCTCTCGCCGACGCGTTGTAGATCCGATCTTTTACAGCCAGACTAACATCACGAAGGCGCCAAAGATGGCCCAGATTGGCATAAGTCGCTTTGGCTTTCACTATACGTGCATTGATCTCATCACTCACGCCCCCATCAGCACTTATGCAGCTACCCTGATACACGAACTTCTCGACTATTTCTATCTGCTCACCATCCAGAGTGAGTACAGGATTAGAATCCTGCCAGTCTTGTAGAAGTACTTTGCACTTCGAAGGTGCAAAGCACATACCATACCTACGGACACTAATTGCCAACTGATTAAGTGCGGATTGCATGCCTTGGGCATTATCGCACAGTAAGACAATATCGTCCGCATACTCAAGGTCGAGAAGTCTTTCTCCAGGCAACAGATCCACACCACCATTACTTACATCCATCAGAGCTGTTTCCAGAATGTCATCGATGGCAAAGTTGAAGAGGAATGGTGGGATTGGGCAACCCTGCCTAACCCCACTGCTCGAATGGAACAATGGAGAGAGGTGGTTGTATGCCCTCACTCTGCCTGAGGTGTTTGTATATAGGGCTTTTAGGATGTTAATAAACTTCTCAGGCACACCCTTCTTCAACAGACAATGCCAGAGAACAGTCCTATCCAACGAATCGAAGGCAGCCCTGATGTCAAGAAACACTACGATGGTTGGCCTTTGATAAGTATGGCGGTGTTCTAACATTTGGCGGAGGGTAAAGATATGATCAATACATCCTCGACCAGAACGAAACCCAGCCTGCTCCTCGCGAGTCAATCTTTCTCGGGTTTTGAACAACCTACGAAGTATGACGGAAGCCAATAGCTTGGACGCAATCGGAAGTAGACTTATCCTCCGATAGTTGTTACAGGAATGACATGAACCCTTTTTAAAGATAGGGACAACTATCGACTCATTCCATGACGTTGGTACACTCTCTAGCTCCCAAACCTTTGTAAGCAACACAATCAGTTCCTATGCCAGAAAGTCACCACCATCTTTAAAAAGAGCCGGAGGTAAGTCATCTGGGCCCGGTGAATTGTAGCGCCTTAAGAGTTGGAGTTCCTTGCGGACTTCCACCTCATTTGGTGGATCAGTCGCCACCAGCCATGGAGGGCAGGACAGTCTGACCGATGTTGTCGGAGCAGCAGGCCAGTTGAACTGCCCTTCGAAGAATTCTGCACATCGTCCAAGACGTCGATGGATGTTAGTGATTGGCATCCCATCATCCTCGCAGATTGTTTCACTCACACCAGACTTCTTGCTGCCAGTGGCTCGGATGAGCTGGAAGAGCTTCTGGTAGTTACCAGATGCAGCTGCTGCTTCCAGCTCATTAGCACTCTCCGACCACCAGGCTTCTCGGTCCTTACGCAAGCTTTGCCCAATTTCATTACGTAACATCCTTCGTTTATGGTCAAACTCACGGTCACCCGGAGTAGACCGACGGGCTTCGATGAGTTGTAAGGAAACTGCAGAAACCCAGTGCTTATAAGCGGGACGTTTCGCGAACCCACAACTAACTGTACCCGCCATTTTCATGGCGTCATACAATTGCAACCAATGCTCATCTATACTTTTCGGTGGAATGGTAGCTAGCCTAGAAGCTAGCTCGGTTTGATACTTACCTGCAACAGAAGTTGCAACCAACCTGCTGACATCAATCCTTTGGTGGCGGTCACTTCGTTGGCCACTGACGAGTAAGGTAAGATTGGCGGCGGTCTTGTACACAACCACGCCAGCGGTAGCTGATCGCGATGTGATTATGCAGAGGAAGGTCGCCAGGTGGCACATCGGCGATGACTGTGCCAGAAGTTAGTGCTAGCCAGAAACAGGTTGTGATATGTGCATAGTTGCAGTAGACGGTCCCTGTTATCTGTCCTGCGACCAACAAGTCCCCATCGGCCAACTAAACGACTCTCTTTTGTGCCTAGAAACCCGACCTGAGCATTCAAGTCTCCAGCTAGTACTACAATATCTGTCAAACGCACTTTCTGGAGAAGAACAGATAATTGGTGGTAGAATTCATCCTTGATTGCATCCGGGCTGCAATCTGTAGGGGCATAGGCGGAGATGACGAAAAGACAATGTTTCTCACGCCGATTTCTTCTCACTTTGATGGAACTCTCTAATCTAACAGCACATAACCGACTGTTAATGGGGATTCAATCGACTAGTGCTGCCTCAGCTCTAGCGTTTACAGCGACACCAACGCCAGCAAGACCAGACGAAAATGCCACAGGGTCCCAGGATAAACGCACGTACAACAAGCTTTTTGAGGCGACAGACGGAGTGTGAATTTGTAGTTCTTTACCAGAGCCTTGAATACGGGTCCCGAATAGACAACGAACGTTGATATTAAGACTTCCCAAAGAGATACCCAACCCTATCTGTTGTCCGACCTGCATAAGTGTGCGAACGTTGAAGGCAGTCAGTTTGAATGGTGCACGTGGTTTCAGAAAAACTGCTTCAGTATGCGTATTTGGTGGTAGCATACAATTTTCTACCAGACAGTGACTCGAGAACGTTTGGATAAAACATTAGGAAAATTCACACTTGTTATTTTGTATTAATATGTGAAATCTTTAACAGTTCTTAACATGTCTAGAGCAGAAAAATTCTCGGGACTTGATAAACTTGCAGAATACTTAACAGTACTACAAAATCCGCCTCGGTGACCAAAGTACATATGAGTGAACATGAAATAACCAGGATACTTTGACCAAATAACTCATTTCTTATTATAGTATGTTTTATCTATCTATTTAAACACATAAACATTGGTATGAGGAGGCACCAAATAGATATGCACCACATAAATCATTCGATTTGCGTGAGGGCTGGAATACTGCCCGGGTGCCCAGACCGAAGGTCGTTTTCTTAGGGGGCTACTCCCTGAGTCTTTTACTTAAAGGTTTAGTCCACAAGGCAGTGGAGCAATGTAAGGAGATGCAGTCCCATGGTAGCCTGTGACCAACAATTGGTTCATACACCATTTGTTCCCTCAGGATCCTGGAGCCCATGTGCACCAGTAGATTGGAATCGAGTTTTGTAACTCCCCTAGATGGGCTTTCCGTACTTACAAACCCTGTTAGAGCGCCAGACATTCGCTTTTCGTCCTCTCAGTTTCATAAACAATACCCACGCCGCGAGAAGGCAGTGAGTAGGGCTTTTTCTGGCAGTGGTATGCACATGGCCATATAACAGCATTTCGAGGAGAGCTGACTCTCCCCACTTTCTGACGTACCACGGTATTTGGAGGTATGTTTTAAGTCACTTATCGCAATGAAGGGTTTCAAGTAGAAATATCTTTATGAAGTGAAAAGATTGGGTACAATAGCAACCGTTAACCTGGTAACTTCAAGGTACTACCTCACTCGGTTAGGAGAGTTCCATATATACTCATATTAACAGCATATCTCCCCTGAATAACATTTAACGTCGACTTTAGTCAAGAACTTTTATTTTCTGCTACCAGTACTAATTTCTTCTTAGTGCTTTTATCTCGTAAACCTTGTAAAAGTGATCTATAGAATAACACACCATATTCTACGAAGAACCATTTATGGTTACGTATTGAATTTTATAAATTTTGAACGTAGCGACATGTCGGAAGGTAGATATTAATAATTAACACCTCAGGATTCACGGTAATGGATAGGTTCGGTCATTAAGCAGATGCACCTAAATTCGATTTCGTTGACTAGTTTATTATAAGTCATTTTATTCTTCAGGTGGTATTGTAAGTTTTCTTTGATATCCACTCTTAGTAGTATAGCAAATTAATGAAGTTGTGTCAAATAATATATCCATGCTTACTGAACCCACATAGAAACAGAATAGAATTAAATAATTATACATCAAAACATGTGACATACTTTTAAGGTTTTCGCTCTTTCATCTTCTAAAAATTCCCAATCATCAACGTAACAAATACCATCAACTCTAGGGTCAAATCTAGGGTCACTCTTGCGATTTTGTTTACGTTTCAACGATTGAATACCGTCTTGATAAACACTTTTAAGGTTTTCTGTTAGATATATTTTCTTTTTCTTAAATTCCTTAAATGACGTTTCTAATGGAGCATCATCATTATTATCATCCATACTATAAGAAAAAACGAGAACATTTGAAAACAAATCCACGGTTTAGTTTCACTGATAACATGAAAATATGTTAGAGACAACAAAGTCAAGACTGAACCAACTATAGGATAAGACAGTGCAAAAAACATTTTTCTCCCCTATATAACTTGGTACAAGTAGTCACAGAACTAATTACATTAACATCAAAAGTAATGTCCCTATGGCTTTGTACCGAATGCTCCAGTGACTGGTAAATTCTTAGGCTAATTGTCTCACAAATACAGTAGAAAGATTCCAATGTATCTGGGGACAATACTTGCTGTGAGGTCGTCTCAAGGAAGATCAGTCAAATAACTCGTAGTTCAGAAATAATTTCTTTATGTTAGACAACTGAGAGAAAATGTAGAGTTATGACACTTGCCGAATAAAGGCTACAAAGCACAAAATGTAGAGTCAGATTTTCTGTAAACTAAAAATTTCCAGTGTGAATGACCGAGCGTAGGACCTGTGATCAACCAGTAAAGTTGTATATTTTTCTTACTTTCTAGGGCAATTTATTCCCTTGATACATTTTTCCCCATTTATTGATGTACATAAGTGTATCATTTTGTGATTAAATGTACGCTTAAAGAGATCCAATCTGCATCGAGTTTCACACAAAATCCTTGATTCTCCAAATGTCACTTTATATTAATAGTGATATTAACGGCAATGATGATAATACAAGTTATTCAAAAATGTACATATATGTGAAATTCGATTTTAGCAAAACCAAAACAAAATAGATAGAGGATTAAAGCTGTAGCTTAGTGGCTGAAGATCTAAAACATTAACCTCCAAGCCATCGGTATTAAGGTCAGAAATATAAACTTGAATTTACATGTTTCAGTGATTGAAAAACTTAACTAACCTAGATAGAGAGCATTCTGAGTACTTGATACATAAACTTATAAGATATCCGGCTTTCCAAATTAAACGTGTTTACAACAGCGTTAACATAACAGTATGATTAATAATATCAAGTTTTGTTATAAAGTTTTACCAGTAGATGAAGGTAAATGTGCAAAAAAAGAAGCTCATGATCCGATCACTGTTAAGTTTAGTACACTGGAAGCTACATACGTGTGTTTAAAACACATTGTTGTTTCAAAAATCATATTACGAAAAAGTACGGTGGGTAGTAACCAAGTTGGTTTCGTAACCAGGAATTTCGCCAACACGATCCTTTAACATGAAGACAACCCTGTCCCCCCATTATTAAGGCCCAAACAACCAATGCTACTGTAATTGTATGTAAGTCGTTACAGCGAGTTATTCTTATTGAATACATTTTACAAATGCTTCTTAAGAAACTACTGGTAGTTGAAGGATCTATGGAAATGACCTGTAAGTACTGAGTTAGATAACAATTTTACCAGAGATAAGCGTTAGTCTAAATATTTGTTTAATACAAAAGTACATTGCAGGTGAGCTTTTGTTATTATGCAGAGGGAACATGATAAACGTTTACATACAGTGGAGACATTTCATACATGCAAATCGATTGTCGCCACCCTATATTGGGTGTAGTACTTCTAAGCAGATTCAGCTTGTTAGTTGGTGTTAACAAAAGAAAGCTTATCAACACCTATGTGCAACTACAGGTATATAGGGTTTTTCGGGTTACCGAATGCATGGGACTGCAATAAGAACAATTGTAAATGAAGTTTTTGTTGATATTGTCCGCCAGTTCATAAACTATTGCGGATTTATCACGATGACAACCTAAAGCACTAAGCACTGAGTTACAGCTAAAAAAGAAAACAATCGTCGTCCACTGTTATATAAAATTAAAAGTACGAAATTAAAATTCAAGTATATATGCCTGCACCATATATGGTGCAATAGGGGGTCATTGGTCTTTTTACTGGCATTTGCAGTACTCCTACAAGTCCCACTTGAATAGGACCCACACCTAAGTAAGGTTTTAGCTTTTTTCGTATCTCCAAAAAAATTTATAATGCAGCTTCCCCAAAACTCAGAATTTTCGCCAAGATCGGATTGGGAGAAACAAACAGGAGATGTACTTGGAGCATATGTTAAACCTTATTTGTTATATGAAGAACTTACATCTACATAAAAAACATAATTTTGCTTGCAAGAAATGCTTAGTGTAGGACGAAAAAGAAAACTTGAAAATGTCGGGTGGTGGCGCGAAATTTAAATGTTTCACATTATGATTTAGATTTGTCTGGTAAGGACAGAAGGCCCACTGATCGTATCAGTCCTTTTCTAGTAGGCTTCTGAGAGTGTCTAGTTTTTTGTTGAATCAGTCAAATAAAGAGGCGGACGCCACATCCTACGGTAACAGGTTTCAAGAATCTATGACCCAGTGTGTAAACCTGTATGCCTTGGGTATTTCGTTCGTTTTTCGGCTTCCCTATTTGTCTGCTATGTCTTCTAAGTTGCCCTGATCTGGCAGGAAGAAAAAGAGGTATATATCAGATCTAAGATTATGTATTACTATTCTATTCATCAAAATCGGACCACCCCTTAATCAGCGGTAGGACAGATTAAAAAGGTCGAGCTGCTCTTTGTATAGCTAACCTTGGAGTTCTGGAATTGCACGGGTAGTTTCCAGGTGTACTTTTTGCAGGATATCTAAGTCACCTTTTAGACGGGGGCAGTTTTCAATTCAGGACCTTACTAAGGCTATGTATACTGTAGTGAACATATTACAATCCAACTTGTTAAATGTTTGTCTTATAGCCCATAGGGTTCTGGACCACTTGGCAGCGACCGTTGGCAGTGAGCCGCAGTCTTAAGATCACGGTTTGCTGTTACCCCAAGATCACTGTGAGATCGATCTACGGATAAAGACTCTCCCACTATGTTGCAACTATTAACATTTGTACCCATAATGCGCATGTAGACAAACTTTTACGCTTTGAAAGGCATCACTAATCTTTCAGACCGTCTAACAGGAACATCTAAGTTCATCTGAAGTGCATATGCGTCTGCATCCCCTGTTATGAACCTAAATCTCTTTTTAACAAGTAATACCAGTGCAATGTAGTGACTCACATTTATCACGAGAACACGACTGGTTTAATAAAAACAATTATTATTATAACCAACTGTACCAGTGTTTGTTTTAATGTGCTTTTGTTTAACTGTGCTAATTATAGCCATTTTGTGCTTCCATTACCTTCCATCATTGTTCCGCGGTTTTTGGTACTGTTCGCACGTACTCCTGTCTTCTGCTTCCACTTGTACCACTTCTTGGCACGATCTCGGTATTCGTTCAATACCACGAGATCGCCAACGAAATAAATCTGGTTACCTTCAACCTCGCCTTCTGATTTGTCTGGCACGTGTTTCTTGGTAGCGGTGTTCACAGTTAATCTCAACTCGACGCCACGCTACATTGGTGATCCCAAAGTTTGGAACACGCCTCAACCTCGGGTCAAATCTTCCAAAGAAGTCAATTTGGTGAGTCTATTATTTATCTATCCACGTCTGTCGTATATTTTCATATTAATTTTTAATATATAATATACACGACATGACGGATAACGATAAGAATACTATTAATGTTATAGACTCAGACCTACAAGCCATTCATTTTCGACCTGTATCATTTATCCCCCACGACCCTGAGGTCTGGTTTGCTGCTTTAGAGTCTCAGTTCGAGACTCGTCGCATCACGAGCCAAAGGCAAAAATACGCCTACGCTCTCGAGTCATTACCCGGGGACCATTTAGTAGCTGTTCGTGAGGTTGTCCTCAATTCTAACGTGCCTAATGTTTATGACCGCCTCAAGGAGGCAATTCTCCGACATTTCCTCCCATCGAGGGAGGAACGATTGAGGACCCTGTTAGCACGTCACCCCCTGGGTGACGCTAAACCAAGCCATCACCTCACGCGCCTGCAATCTCTTGCAGGACCAACAGCATCAGACTCGGAGATAGTCAAGGAATTATGGCTCGAGTCACTACCAGCCCATATCCAACCTACTGTGACGGCACTGCTCGAGGACTCACCGCTTAACCAGGTAGCTCTCATAGCAGACAAAATTTTGGCGAGGACTAGTAATAGAGACACCTATGTAGTCGCTTCGACGGCACGTCCTAATGTAGACATGGACGCCGGTCATTCCACAGCTCATGGTGACAGGGCCGGGTGTATTCACACACGTCTTAGTTTTCGAGATCGCTGTAACGTACCCCAACCCTACGTCCCCCGAGCTCGCTCAAGTTCTCGCAAACCCGTCACCACTCGCCCAAAAAGGGCATCTTCCAGGCCACGCCGAAAGGCGGCTACGGAAGCGAGTGACAGTTGGTGCTGGTTCCATAGGTCCTTCGGGTCTGGCGCCCGCCGTTGTCGAGCACCATGCTCATACAAGGCGGGAAACGCCAGCGCCGGCGAGTAAAAGCGGCCGTACTCGCCGGCCCTTTACCCCAGGTTGGTCGCCTATTCTACGTGCACGATTACCGCACGAACGCTAGGTTCCTAGTAGACACTGGGGCCCAAGTTTCTGTCGTACCACGAGGTAGCAGCAAGTCACAAGCCACAGTGCTTCGACTACGCGCTGCGAATGGCTCAGTCATTCCTACCTACGGTACACGACAACTCGCGGTCAACCTGGGCAACCGACGACGGTATCTGTGGACGTTCATCATTGCTGATGTTCCCACAGCCATACTAGGTATCGATTTTCTACAGCACTATGAATTGCTTGTCGATTCACGTAGGCTGCAGCTAATCGATACTTCGTCGAACAGCAAATTCATGGGCTGTAAAGCCCACATGAACGCGTACCGAATCCTGGGCACTTTTTATTCGCGTGACGATAAATTCCACGCTTTATTCGAGAAATTCCCCGTAATCACTAAACCACTCGAGGAGCTTCCATCGGTGACCAATCGTGTGGTACACCACATAGTCACCCGCGGACCGCCAGTCACGGCACGACCTCGCCGACTGGCACCGGACAAATTAGCTTTTGCTAAGCGTGAGTTTGACAATTTACTAGCTACTGG